ATGAGGAGCAGGTGTGAGTAGAGCTGATGAGGAGCAGGTGTGAGTAGAGCTGATGAGGAGCAGGTGTGAGTAGAGCTGATGAGGAGCAGGTGTGAGTAGAGCTGATGAGGAAGCCAAGGGAAAAGGAAACAGACGGGGGCAACAGAGGACAAAGAAAAACCTGAGAAACTTAAATGAATCCAGAGCAAAAAAATAAAGCTAGAAAACAAGGAAAAACCTGGATGAACTTGAAGCTGAAAACTTAGAGAAAACAACAGAACCAAGATCGTTACAGAGCCCCCCAATTAAGGGCGGATTCCAGACGCCCTCAAATGTCTAAAAACCAACAACAACCCACCCAGGATTGACGGAGGGGGGGGGCCAGGAAGGAGGGCCAGAAATAAAAAACAGAGTCCAAAAAACAACCCACCCAGGGTGGGCAAGGGCAACCGAAAGTCTCTGGAGGCCGGCCGTGGGGCCGGCTACGATGGAGGCGCCTCTGGAGGAGGCTGGCTATGAAGGAGGTGTTGAAAGCTGAACTGAAGTCCAGGAACAGCATCCGGGTGTTCTTCTCCTCCAGGTGTTCCAGGCTCAGGTGGAGAGCAGAGGAGAACTGGGAAACTCTAAACTAATCCTGGAGGAAAACTTTATCAAAGGAAAAAAGGAAAAACCCATAAAGCATGCGATGAAAGTGGAAACGCTGTGACAGGTCTGATAGGTGACCCCCCCGCCCCCCCCCCCAGCTGTGAGATGACCTCAGCCAGCTGGTAACGGGTAACGGGCCCTGGGGCTGCCGTGCTTTATGGCCGACACATAAACGACTCACCCATAGTTTTCTGACTTCAGGCTAACCCACTCTGCTAATGCTAATCATAGAAACACATTTCCAGACCGTCTGCCTGGATAGTTTGGTTTATTCTAACCTTAAAAACGGCCATTAAATGATCTGGGAGTAAAATCATCCTGGAACCTTTAATATCCACCAGTTATTTATTAATAGACAGTTTTATTTGTTTAAAAGAAATAACAATAAAAAGGTTCAGTGACCAAAACACACGATGAGAATATTGTAGCTGTGAGTTTATAGACTGCCCTGTGGCCCCGCAGCAATAAGGTCAGTCAGTGATGCTGGAAACATCCTGCTTCTCCGTTTGTTCTGATCAGCTGGTCAGAGGTGAGACTTTCTAATCCTGATCTGCAGTCAGAGAGAAGCTTGGTTCTGGTTGAGTTTGGAAATGCTAGTTAGAACATTTAGACCTGAGGGAATCCTGCTGGTTTGTGCAGAGAGTTTATTAAGATTATTCTATTCAGTTTATTTCTATAGCTCCAATTCACATCATGTCATCTCAGGTCACTTTCCAGTTCACCAGATCATCCAGTCAGATTGATTCAAAGTTTTCTATCTAAGGAAAACCAGCTGATTGCATCGACTCATTGACTCTTCAGCAATCCCTCACACTAAGCATGCTTGTAGCGACAGTGGAGAGGAAAAACTCCCTTTGAACAGGAAGAAACCTCCAGCAGAACCAGGCTCAGTGTGAGCGGCCATCTGCTGAGGCCCACTGGGGTTCAAGGAGACAGAAGCAGACATAGAAAAAGAAGCATAGATACAAAAGGCAACTGTTAACCAGCTCCACAGGCGGCCCCGTCCAGGAAACACACAGCCAGGCAGACGAGCTCCGAGCCAGCTCCCATGTCAGAGGATGAAGAGAGCACATCCAGTTAGTCACAGTCAGAGAAACAGGACTACACTGGAAAACAGGCCAAGCTCCAACATCTAGAAACAAAGGTGTTGATGGCAGCAGCACAGCTGATATTTCTCTCCAGGATGGAGTCACAGCCAAACAGGAACAGACCAGATGAAGCTACTATGAGAAAAAGCAGAGAGAGCAGAACGTTAGAGATTGAACTAACAGATTCTGCAGAGTGGGAGAATAGAGATAGAATGAAGCAGAATGATGAAAAAGGGGTCCCTATGTCCTCCAGCACTCTAAGCCTATAGCAGCAGATCTATAGAGATAGAATGAAGCAGAACTCCTGCCTGTTTGTTGAAGTTTGCAGCATTAGGATCATTCTGGGTCCATCAGCTGATCCCGCCTTCCTCTGATGCACTGAACCGTTAAACCAGGAAAGCGACTCACTCTGATAATCATCTTCCATCAGATCAACATGTTTCCTGCTGAACCAGTGATGGGTTATGCCCCGCCTCCCCCCACAGGTCCACTCAGCTCCGCCTTTCAGTTCGTTTTAAAACGTTCCTGCTGCCTGAAACCAATAAAAACTGCCTCCTACATTCTGAGGTTTCCTGACATCTGAAATATCTAGAAAAGGAAAGATGCAGATTCTCTCTTGGCTGCCTGAGAGCAAAGTGAGGCGTTCCTGAACTAATCAACCACTTTCAGTAACAGTGAAATGAAACATTTAAATAAATGATTTTCTGATAATCAAACCACAGACACCAGGCTGGGTGGAGCATTTTACTGACAGCAAAGAGTTACACAGAGTTCAGCTTCATGGAATCAAAATACAGAAACTAAAGAATATTTGGTTTTATTTCTCCTCCTGTTGGTTCCTGACTTCATGCTTTAAATAAAACCATTTTTCTTTCTGTTTATTGTTTCTCAGACTCGTCTGTGATCAGAGATTTAATGAAGGACAGGAGCGGGAAAAAAAAGCACATAAAGTCACGACTGATGATTTAAGAATATAAACGTATAAAACAAAACACTTTAAGATGATTAGTTACAAACGTAAAGATTTCTTATTCCTATAAAACAATCTACACATCAGGAAAAGATCAAAACCTTCTAATTAAAATCTGTTGAGAATAAATTTCCTTCATTTTTTAACGTTTCTGTGGTTAAAAAATCAGGAGATGAATATTAAACTATTACAATCAATGAATTGCTAATTATTTATAAACTGCTAAAATCATCCAGAGGTTTTAAAAAACTTCTTTTACAGTGAAATTCACCAAATAAGTTTATCATTAATATCGATATATTTCTATCATAGAATTGTCGTCTGAGGCGTCTGCAGGAAACATCAGTTTATTTAAAATCAGTAAAATTATTTGACAGCTGAGATTTAACCCTTTATAGGAACTGGAATGTTCCTGGAATCCAGGATGAGACTTTATTTCCTTTGGAAGTTTCAGAAATGTGGTAATGATGATAAAATTAAAATCAATAATAACCAGAATCACTAATTTGCACCAATATATAAAAAAAAAATAAGAAAAATGCTTCTAGAAGAAAATTATGAAAAACACTCAGAGTGAAAGAAACATTAATGCTGATTCTGAAACTGACATTTTTTAGTTTATAAACCTAAATATAATCGTTAACGAGGCTAATTAACTTTTTCCCAGTAGATAAT